ATCATAACATTGCTGCACACTCTCGACTTTTGCATGTCAGCAATTCATCAAATATGGTTAATACAAGAAGGCCCAATACATTCGGCACTTTGAAACATTTCTTCTCTGTTTGGTCTTTTTTATAATTCATGAGTTCCGAACTAATGTTATTAATTATGAATAAAATATGAAATTATGGAAAAACTTTTTCAATTAAAAAGAAGAGAAATCATAAGGACCTAAACAGGTATTTTTCACATGTAACAACTAAACTTAGTAAGAGCATCATTTAGCAAATGTGTTTTTGCTTATCAATCTGTCAAACTTGCCCTTTAGCAAATTCAGAAGAATTAGTTTTCAATGTGCTTATACACATCAATTTGCCAACAGTTTGAATTTAGTCATATTTGCTAAAAATCTTAGTCTTAAATGTTGCCAGGAAACAAACCAATCCCACGCTTGCATACAATAACAACAAAACATTTCGTTAAATAAATTTCCGGCAGGTAAAATGCATCGAAAACAATTTCGGACATCTTTTCAGAATTTCTTCGTGATTGAATTTTGTCGTGGATTTTAAACACAGCAGAGATAAAAAATACTACCAACATTCTAAGAAGGAATGCCCCAGCTCCGTGGAGACTTGGAGGTTGAGTATCCGCTGGAAATTTGGCTTAACCCACCTGGTAGCTTTTTAACACAGAACATCATTTCGGAAAAAAGAGACAAAAGCAAAATTTTCTTAGTTTATATGAAGGCAGAATAGAAGAGATGCTCCTAGCATTAAAAGAGTCTCTCCTCTCTATCAATATGGTATGAAAGTTTATAAACAGAGCAAAATTGAAAGTAAAAGCACAAATATAAGTATAAGAATTGGAAAGCGTAAGACCATCTCTAATACTAAAAGATGGTCTAGTAATTTCGCTGTCTTTAAAGTTCAAAATTTGTGCTTAAAGGCACAAATTACTTGAATGAATGAAAGAAATAGTACAGTTGAACTATAGCTGAAAGCTGAGGTGGCCTTTATTTGAAATCGATGACAAAAGACAGTTAGAATCATTATTCATCGAAAGATGGTGGAATGAATGCAGTTCAAGAACCGACAATGAAGATACTGATGATGATAACGAGCAGGACGGTTAAGAAGACGATTGAAATGCGAATTATGACAAAATTTGCCGTAACTTGATTTGGTTTTGATCATAAATTTGGTTCTGATCTCATTTTGATAGTTTTTATGTGAAAATTCTTATAAAATTTCTAAAAAGCAAAAAAAATTTTTCTTGACCAAATTCTGCCTCCTTTAAATTTGAGTAAGAAAAAATTTCGTCAAAATAGTGTTCCGAAATAGTTTTGTGGTTAATATAGGTTGTTTCTGTAAAATAGATTAATCTAAGATTGACAACGCTTTCGATAGTCAATCTCAGGAAAGCTTAGTAAGTCTGGATATTTAGAAGGTTCTTTGTAAATAATTGAGTCATTTGTTTTTATGACATAAAGATATTTGAGACATAAGACAAGATCTAACAAAGGAACGGGAACAGGAGTACTAGACTTAGCATCAACATCTTAACATCTTACAGACAAAAAATATAAAAATTAGCCAGCATATAAAGAATGAACTAATAAAAACATAGCATTGCTTACGACTACCGCATCTCAAAAATAGTAAGCCTAATTAAACTATATGAAAATTAGCTCCTTCTTGAAGACAACTAAAAGCTATTCAATATGAGAACTGGAATGCCAAATGCAGTTATGTTGTTTTGAATTTTTTCGCCTTTATAAATTCGCATAAGAATGCAGCTATAAATTTTGAAATAGTTGATAGTGTTGCAAGATAGTGCATAGCTGAAAGTAAATTCACTAGGGCAGCAGCATCGAAGATTCAATGCAATGACGTGATTGAAACACTAAAGGCTGCACAAAGGCCATGATAACTAGCCTGAGATCAGGCTCTCCGGGCAGAGGAAGCTGGGGCAGAGGAAGCTGGGGCAGAGGAAGCTGGGGCAGAGGAAGCTGGGGCAGAGGAAGCTGGGGCAGAGGAAGCTGGGGCAGAGGAAGCTGGGGCAGAGGAAGCTGGGGCAGAGGAAGCTGGGGCAGAGGAAGCGGGGGCAGAGGAAGCTGGGGCAGAGGAAGCTGGGGCAGAGGAAGCTGGGGCAGAGGAAGCTGGGGCAGAGGAGGCGGTTTTCCGTCAAAACCTGATCTCAGGATTCATGATAACTGGACTGTGGAGATAAGGTTTAAGACTGACGTTCTAGAGTTTCATAGTTACGACATCAAAATTAATTTCATCGGTGAAACTTGCAAGTTTCATCAACGTCCATCTAAAGAGCCGTGCTAATTGCGGTCAGAAGTTTCCGACGATTTTTATCGTAAAGCGAGGTCTCAGATGAAAAATGTTTGAAACATTATTAATCGCTACGATCAAAGAAAAGATGCAATCACAAATGTGTTTTTTTAATTTGTGGATTTTGAAGGCATGGCTCAAAAAACAACCTTAAAAACAGGATGGCTCCTTAAGGGCTTAGCAAACCCTGGGAAATATTTTATGCAAGACAAATTTTAGGGGAACTGTAAAAAGCTAACTATTTCCTCACTTTTATAGAAATAACATATAAAACAAAGTGTTTTTAGGAATGGAGATTTCAGTTAACAAGGTCTTTTTAGTGCGTTTGGCGCAAGGCACAGAACTTCTATCAGCGCATCCTCCAATTTTTAGCGACGTCCATCTAAAGAGCCGTGCAAATTGCGGCAAAAAGTTTCCGAAGATTTTTGTCATAAAGCAAGATTCTCAGATAAAAAATGTTTGAAATGTTATTCATCGCTTACGATCAAAGAAAAAATCGTACTGTGTGCGGTGCTCAAAGAAATCGTTAAAGCTTCAGAAGACGAATCAGCACATTTAAGGAGCATAACAAGAAAATTGTGGGCGAAGGGGCACCATACAAATTTCTTAATGGAAGTGATACAGTCCAGTCACAAAAAGAAGGGTATGCAGTACATTAAAATAGCAAAACTACTATGTCATGTTCTCGAAGTGAATTTTTATTGGCACCTTGCTCGCTGCACCTTTTTTAAATCAACAGATAGAACCAACATTTTCTTTCCCTTTTTACATTATCTTATGGCTATTTGAATGATCTGCATTGCAACATGCAAGTTTATTCCAGATGCAATGATTTTATTCAATAAAATATGATGTTAAATGGCTTTGACTCCGATCTGAACAGTGCTTCTTTTCATTACACTTTTTGTATATCAATATCATTGCAACAGAAACATTTCTCATTTATTGTCTTTAATTAATAGCTTAGATTCCAAACGCCCTGGCACGAAAAAGTCCTTGAGTGACCTGAAATGACACTGCGTCAATAATTCACAATTATTTCTTTCGGTTTGAAAGTTCTCTAAGGCAAAGCGCTGAGGTCAGTTATAATAACAGAAAAAGTCTTTAATTATGCAAGAAAGTCTCATGGGAAACCAGCAAGTGTTGTTGCTAGCTAAGCACGATTTAAAACGGGACATCTCATAAACAGCACAGCAGTTAATTGGAAGAGTAAAAAGCTTGAAAACAAGCAGGGTTGATATAAAAATGACCAAGGAGTGATTATCTATAAGACTATCCCTTTTCCTAGCTATCTACTTAGGTCCTCTTCAGCAACAGAGAATATTAGAGATCAAAAAGTAATACTATTCTTGAATGAGATCCATACAGAACAAGATCTTGAAATGTGGACAACAGTTCTTATATGCAGTTCAAATTTCAGCCCCCCCTCTTTAAGTTACCCTCTGAAGGAAAAGTATTTTGCCAAAATTAATAGCCCTTTCGATTGGTGTCCGCCAAAAATTTCTCTTTACACTTACTAGGTAGGCCTGACAGTAACGTAATAAAAACATACATTTAATTTGTCGATGTTAATGAGAAAAATGTAGTTAATTAGTTTATGAACAGTTTCAAGTTTTGCAGTTTAATATTTATTAGGATTACGTCACAATAGCAATATTCATTTATTTAGATACAATAAAACAAAGAACAAAACAAAAAGAAATTCTACTTTCTTACCAATTTAGGTACAGTCATAACCAAATTTATGAAAGCAAATTGATATGTTTATATGTAGCTTGTTATTTAAAATGACTTCCAATGAATTAGTTGCGGAGTACTAGATACGCTCTTTGGTATATAATGTATAGATGAAATTAATGTACATAGCATTTGTAAAGATTCAAGCAGCGCGTTAATTTCTCTTAAACAGGAATGCAACAGTTCTTAAGATTGTTCGTGAAAAAGGACAAATGTAAAGCACAACGTTAATACCTATATTTTAACCAGAGATCTCTAAAAGATTGCTTGACATTTAGCAAACTAGAAAATTTGATAAATTTGAAAGAAAATGCATAATAGAATGACCATTCCAAACTTTCCCCTTAAGCTAGCTGGCTTCAAAACCCTTTTATGAACTCTGGCAAGTCTAACCATGAATTTTAAGTTATCTTCTAATTGCAAATTGTTAAAGCACGACTGCATCTAGAATTCTTCTTTAGCAACACTGGTTTGAATAGCTTTGATACAAAGAAAGTAACTTACGAGGTCTGCAGGATGTGCCTACTATCATGACTGGTTGTGACAAGCAATGATTACTTATTACATTCAGGTCCGTCAAGAGCAACACTTAGGTACACCTGGTGTAATATCTAAGTAAAACGTTATCAAAAAAACCCTTACCCACATTTCATTAAGTATAATAGTCGCAACAATTTGATCAAAAAGAGCCGTTCCTGTTCATTCGCTCTCACAATTAAATTCTGGCTTCTTATGATAGCAGTCATTGGGGCTAAATGGAAGCTTTGATAAATCTGCGACGATCTGCACAATATTGAACGATCTGTATACCAAGCAATCAGGTGCTTTTTGCAGCTACATATTTTGTGTTAACGCGCCCCTTTACCATACAATAGTTCAGAAGAGTAAAGCTAAAAGGCCATAGAACATTTAAAATGAAAAAATTATACTATACCTTGTCTGCCTTTACGTCCCTTTCACGTCTTGCACTGAATTAATTGTGTATTATTTGAAGAATTTGATTCATATTTTCATCCGGAGAAGAGCCTCTTTTGCTACTGGTCTCAGCCTGAAATAACAATGTGAAGTTAATGAATTTCTATTGTCAGTCTCGGAAACCTAATGTCTCGCCGTTAAATTCCATTGACATTTTATCAAAGTAGCCTTTAAATCGACAGACGCCCTCAATAAACACTATACTTTATTTACAAAGAATTGTTTATTGAGCTACTTTGCAAGCTTATAACTATCTTCGATTTTTGTAATTCTTAGACACTAATTACAGTAAACAACTACAAAGTAAGTAATATGTCTCATCTCTGCTTATCGTAAAAAACACAAAAAGCCGACAGTAGAGTCTAAAAGTTTTACGAAAAATTTATCTCTGCAAAACCGGTGTTTTTGTTTAGCCCCTTTAATTTTTTACGTTAGATTTAGTATAGAATTACTTCTTTTTTGAAGAATATTTGAGACAGAGCAGTTTAGAGGTGAAAGATGGCTTATGATACAAAAAGAAGTCAAGAATATAGTTCCCTGCTTAATTATTTATCCTAAAGTTTTCTAGATTCAAGCACAGAAAATTGACTTGTGACCATATTCGAAGAAGATTGCTCACGTTAATTTAACAAGAAACATTTTTGGAATCTGGAAATTTTTGTCCACTTGATAGAAGCCAATCGATTGATTTTTGGACTCTTTGCCTTGCCATTTAATTTGTGAACGCACTGAAATTCATCTTCAACAACGAAAACCTCAACATCAGCACAAAATTAAAAGCTGTTAACACCTACGCTACATCCATGTTCTTATGCAACTCAGAACTCTGGACATTAACGAAATCTCTTAAAAAATTGACAATTTCAATAGAAGACTATTACGAACATACATCTTTAACATAGTTTATCCAACAATAGTGAAAAATGACGATGTCTACCAACAAAGCAAAAAAGCTCCATGGAACAAGATGATCAAACAACGTCAACTTGGATGGTAAAGAGTTGCACTTCGTTTACCAGAGCAAGCCCCTGCAAAACTAGCCTTAGCGTACGCAGATGTGAAATATACAAGACCGAGAGGCCACCCAAGACTAATTTGGCTCTCAAAAAAAATCAAACCTACAGGAGAAGTAATGGGGGAGGGGGGGTTGGGGTTGTGGGAAATAATATCCCTAATTTCTTCTTATACAAGCTCTTGCTTGTAAATTTTGCTCAATGTATTGAATTAAAAAAGTGTTTTGAACCACATTTATTTTAAGATGCCGAACCCAGAGATACTACCAGAAAATATGAAAACAGCTTTAACTACGAAGAAAGATCCAACGCCATCCACGGCATTAAAGAAAAAATCAAACCTACAGGACATTTTTAAACTCTAATGGAGATAAAAATGTGAACTAGCAAAAGATAGACTTTCCTGGCAAAAATATTTAAACTAGAAATCATGTGTTACGCTAAAAAACTTGTTCTGTAATAATGATAATATTGATAGAGGCTCCTAATATTTGGCTCATCAAGATTTTTGCTGGTAAAATAACAGTCCATTAACAGGTAGGATGTAAACTGAGGTGACATATGAGATAACAACTAACTTTATTTTTGTTTCTTCGATAAATATTGCAAGAAAATTATTCCTGGTATGACGATATAAAGAGAGGATAAAGAACTTTGTAATATTGCAATAGATGTTTTGTAATGGTAATTGTGGAGGTCAGGTTATGATAATAAATGAGAACATATCTTTAGGCATTGATTATATCTCAAAAATAGGCATTTGGCGTTACAAAACATATTAAAATTTCAAAATGAAACAACAGAAAGTATGCCAGAACTTAAAGACTCTTGCGCAACCGGCATGCTTTGCGACTATAATTCAAAGAAGCGGCCTAATATCGTACTGCGTGAAAATACAAATAAAGTCAATTTCTCAAGACAACTGCCACTGAGCATGCCGGTTGGGCAAGAGCCTTTAAAGTGAAGAGAATAACCTGATAAACGACAAAAACATATTATTTTTGAAAATATCGAATATTTTTGCAAAATTCAAAGTGATTTCGAGAAATGAAGAGAACAGGAATATAATATGTGCCCAAAGTGACAGATGTTAGATTACATGAACCGGTTGTTTTTATCATAAAAGGTTTTCACTTCGTTTAGCCTCCCGACTCAGCAGTCGAAGGGCTTGCTTCAGGATCACCGTGCCTGAAAACATCTGGTTTGAGAACTGATTCATCCTTTTTAAATGTGAATTCTGTAAGATGGATCTTACTGAGAGCTCCAAAGCTTAACGGAGTCCGTACACGAAAGTTTATGAAGTCTTAAAGGGAGACTCTCAAGATTAAATTTGAATTCCTATTTAAGCAGAATTCTTCCTGTGTCTTAAGCGTATACTTGTTTGTTGTTTATCTTAAAAACACATGCCTTACCTAACGTTCTTCACTACAATTTTGGTCTATTCTATTCACCTACTGTGGTGATAGCAAGCTGAATAGGTCAGAGAGCTCGCGTGTTGTTTCTGTTCTGATAGAGGTTTATAGACAAAATGATGATAAGAGTATTTGAAAATCCTAGCGTGCAATGAAACTTTGTGATGTTTTATAATACTGTTGTCTAAAATGGCTATAAACAAATGTGTGCTATTCAGCAAATAATCGATGGAAATTTAAAAAAAAATATCGAGTCCTTTGAAAACAGAGAGGAAAATTCAATTATCTGTTAAATTGATAGCTGTTTTGGCTGAATGAAAGATTTTGCAAACATAGCTTCACAATAGAACATTTATTAAAGCTATATATATCACTGAAAAACAAAGTCTTGTTACTAGTGAGCATTGAACTAAACAGGCCTATAGTTTCAACTTCAAGAAGTGTCCTAAACCTTAGAGTTTGGCAGAAATCTACAAGGTAGAGTCAAAGAAAGTTTTTGGACCCCTCTTAGCTCGAGGCCTTGAACAATCTCTTAGCTTCATTTTCTTCTTTGATCATTTCTAAATGCTCATCGTTATATCTCATAAGCTCTTTCTGATATCCAGATGTTTCTTTACAGTTCTTCAAACTCTTCCTTCAGTCCTCATCAAACTCTTCCTTCAGTCCTCAAATTTCAGCCCTCATCCTTTTCTCCGGGCAGCGTTTGTTTCCATAGGTATGTATAGGATATCTTTTTGTATTTATTACCAGCTCTCTTAATTTGATCCTTCAATTCTCATATGTTAAGTAGATGCAACTTCTACCAAAGTTAAAAAACATATCGCATTTTAAGGCTTCATAATAAGCTCTTGTCTTGTAACGAGATATTCGAGATTTTTTAACTTGATAAAATCAATTTGACATGAATCTTTTTCATTGAACTTGTATTGCCTTTCTAAAGTACTGGTGATTTCAACTTTGCTCGTAGCATCCTGTAACTCAAGTCACATTCTTTGCTTTCAATGACGCCTCAATTTAAGTTTTTCATTAAAACATGGCAGTACTTTCTCTTTGTAATTTTTGACTTTCTTTTTAAGCCCACTTAATCATCATCTTGCTAAAAAAAATCATTTGCCCTATTCTCTCTCTAGCTCCTGTCTTCTAAGCGCAATTTGCTTGATGTTCAGTTCTTCTTCCCTAATCAGTTTGTCATTTTTTTGTTCAAAGCATTCATCGTAATTATGGTGATATCTTTTCAAGTCGTTTCGACAATCATTGTGATAGTCCTTTCCCTGCCTAAAACACCATTTAATCAAGTGATGAAGATTTTATAAAACTGCTCTCAAACGATTTAGAAAGGAATGGAAAATCAAGTTTTTTATTTTAACTCTAAAACTTTTTTAAACTTTGATTACTGTTAAGTGTTTTTACAGCTGGATCTTAAAATTCTTCGTATTTATAAACGTGATGCAAATAATATTCCATATTTTGGCAATGTTTGTAAATTTTTGAATTTCTTAAAAAGTTTTCTTTAAAAACTTGAAAAGCTGCAGTCTGAAATCAAATAGAAAGTGTAACAGCAGAGAGCATATTCTTTAGACAGCTTTTGGTAGTTGATTGAAAATTCTTTGCAGAATAATAACGATTTGTTTAAAATTGAAATGAGGGATTCAGAAACTAAGTAAATGCAGGTTATGTCTGCTCCTAAAATGGTAATCGTGTTAAAGTATGATCTATAACATTTTGACAAGGCACAATAGTCTCCAAAAATCACTAACATCATTCTTAATCTGCTATTATTGTGACTTTTTAGCCAAAATAGAAATTTCTTAAAGAAATATGTTCTTTTCTGTCCAAGTACACAATTCACAAAGAAGAAAGCAGCTTGCTGCTATTTATTAAGCTTTTATGTCTATGATGTAAGTAAAAATGAATAGCAAAATAATTAAAAAATATTGAAAATTAAACAAGACTATATATTCAGTTTTGAAAAATGTTAATTAGGTAAGCACATTAAAGAACCTTTATTTTGGTAGACATAGAGATATCATGAATATAATTTTACGTATGGCAGATTCGTCACATCACAAGGTGTTAGCTGGAGCGAGAAATATGTATTACTAATAACTATAATTGCCTTCAAGGCCTTCATGAACTGTAAAATGAAATAAGAGCTTTTTTGAAGTTTGTGCATTGAATCGATTTCACAAAATTTCTAGTGGCGATAATTTAGGTTATCTTACCAGTAAAAATGTCATTTTTAGGCATTAAATACTTTTCAACACTCGGGTAGATGACAACAATTTCACAAATTGAACACCAATAGCGCCATCCATGCATCGTACGTCGGTATTCAATACCATGTTTCTTTGTCCGCATTTTTGGCAATTTATTTTTTATACATTTTTTGCTAAGGAGTCAAAGTTCTTCTTTATTCTACTAGATCTTTAATTGATTCTGCATAATTCTAGGTTTGGCTGATTGTTTACTAAAGATTCTTCATCTACACTTCAAAATGTGATGCTATCTTTAATTAAGTTTACAAAACATTTTCTGAATAGGGGATGAACGAAATACCTTTTGTTTGGTATAGATGATAGGTATTCAGTGAATGCAAGCATGCATACAAGCACTGTATACTGTAACAGTATACTAATAGCTTTTTGTGT